CAGATACTAGCATAGAATTTTTTCATTAGTGTTTGTTTCATTTTTCTTTAATGGTATTCTGTCAGTTGGAAGTTACTGGATCCTACTTCACCAGGTTTTGATTTGTCAACTTATTTTTCGTCAGTTTGCCATACTGTGGTGGTCTTTGGGGTGAGGAATAAGATTTGAGGGGTTTTTTAATGTTGATGATTAAATATTCTTGGTGACTTTCTTTGCGTTGATATTTTCCTTTTCCAGCATTGGAATAATTTTTACATTCAGTCAACCTTGACACTTCTTTCATTTCAGTTTGAAGTTCTTTGAAACGTATTGGCTAGATAGAGACCTAACTTTGAACTCTATTCTAGAGGAGTTTTCAGTCATCTGCTTTGTGTCGGTTTACAGAAAGCTAGTAAGCTACTGTCTCAGTCTTGTTCAGTCAGAGATTGAGGAATTAAGAAGAAAGCTTTGGGATGGGATATGAAGATGTAAATAGGAATGGCCATTTAGGCCCAAGATGCAGGAGGTGCAAGACCACAACTTGAAGTTACTGTGGTAAAGTGAGGTGTGTGGAAAATATGGGGTACAATTTTACAGTGAGCTGGACTGCAGTAGTTCCCCTGAAGGAACAACCTTTCTAATATTTAAGTTTGATTTTATAGATTCAAGTCAGTTGCATCCTTTACGTGCTTTTCTGCTTTCCCCTAAATCCCTCCTCCAGAAAATTCCTGTAGCTACGCTATTTTTTTTTCTGCAGCTAAATTTTAAGGACTTGTAGCAATATTTTTTTTTAACTACCTAATGCATTGACCCTAATAGCGAGATAAATATTGAGTAGTTCATTATTGTGCATAGGTACTCTGAGGATTAATGAGTTTTTATGCACAAGCAAGAGAATGAAAGCAAATCTGTCTACAGAATTAGGCTATATTTAAGGATTCTGAAATTTCTGCCAAACAAGGAACACAGTGAAATTTCATCTGCCATTTATGTTGTCCTTAATGTTCTTTAATTTAGCAGACAAGATAGTTTGGTTATAATTAAGCTTTCCTCATATTGTTGTTCCCCAAGATTGTGGCATAAATCACTTTACTTTGTAGTTCCCTACATGTTCAGTCTTCATTCCTCCTGTATAATTCTTCCATAGACAATCTCTGGGATACAGGAAGACTTCACGCTGCCAATCGCTTCTCGTGTATGTAATATAATTTAGAATTCATTTTTCCTCAAGTCTTAGGTTTTCTGATTTCCTTGATGCTGTTTCTTCCTTCAGTGTGTGTGCCCTTCCTGCTGCGGCAGCAAATGTTTCTTTCCCAAAATAATTCTCATGGCAATTTCTTTTACTTCTGACTGCATTTTCAATAGGTAGACCTGGCAACTAGGCTGAATGGATCAACAGTTGCTACTGAAGGACAAGGGGCAGTGTGCACACTGAAAGAAAATAAATTAAATCTAAGAAAAAGCTTTTTTTTTGCACTGGCTGAACACTGAACAGGGCTCCCCGGGGGAGGGGATGGAGTGTCTGTCCTTGGAGCTATTTAAAACCTGGCCTGTAGCAACATGCTTGAGCTGACCCTGCCCTGAGCAGGGGACTGGAATTGGGTGATATTCAGGGCTCCTTCCCACCCCAGACATGTTCTGAATCTATGAAGTGAACTGGTTTGTGGTATCTGCAATTCACTTCAAGACCGCCACATCTTGTATTTTCTTTGTACCAAGTTACGCAATGAGGCAAGTTCTAGTAGTTCTTTCCTCCCCATCTTTTCATCATTTTCTCCCCCAAAAATTTATTAGAAAACCGTAATCAGCCTTTAAAATCTTGGACCGTATTTCATGAATCTTCAGAAAGATACCTTCCTACCTGTGTTCCAGATATATTCAACTTTCAGGTTTACTTTAACAAAACATGGTTGGGAAAAGATGTATTCAAGACTTGTTGCACAGAGGATTAGTTTAATATAAATAAAGATTTTACTTGGGGGAAAATGTGTTTTTCCAAACATCCTGTTAGGATTTAAAAGGAGAATGAGGTAGCATGAAAAATGGTAGCTCTAAAGTGCCAAGAGGTTTGCAAATTAACTCTCTTTCATGACTGTAACTCTGTGTTTTGCGTCTGACCTTCTGTTTCAATGAATGAGCTTGTAAAGACCTGAATTTCCCATTTTGGATAAAACCAAACCCTTAAATAATAAAACACACATACTGGTATAACATTCAACTAGCATTCTCAATCAAACAAAAGGCATTTCTTAGAAAACTGTTAATCCACTAAGAAAACCATCTCATGAGACAGAATGGGAGATATCATAACCCTGGTGTATCGAGGTACATAAACGTAAATTGGAAGCCCGTTCCAAACTCTGTCTTTTCTTTTATTTTTTAAACTGTGTGTGAAACTTCAGTCTTCTTAGCCTTTCTTTCAGTCATACCATTTGGCTTAATAAACAGGACTCTCAACAACAGCACTTTTATTACTGTGCTTTATGGCCATTGAAAAGCTTATCATAGTCATACACTGCTCCAGTTATCTTACTGATAAGTAGTTTGTATGACTGCTTGTGCTGTGAGGTCTCACCCTAATAATACCTATGATTATAAACCTTACACACAACATGTTCCACCTAAAAGTTAATTAAGGGGATAAAAAAAAAAATCTTCAGTATCATTGGTTTGTCCTGTATGCAGCTTGTTTGTCCTATATACAGCTTTTTGTTCTCTTTTTAAACTGAGTAACAAGTTCTTATGCTGCAACAGACTAATTTGGAGTGCAGTGCCAATACTTGATGTAACATTAATCTGCAACAAGTTTTGGAGACTTTGCACCATATTATTTTCATTATGAGAGAAAAGGATACTACACCATAAAGCCCCTCTATGTTTGCTAACACTATTTATAAACATGGTGCATGGTGTTTAATGGCGTGGTAGCTAAAACTGCATTTAGGCATTCCTTGTCTTTCAGGAACAGAACTTGCTGCTTTACCTTGGGCCACCTTTCCTTTGCATTTGTTTCTCTTGGCCTCTTAAAATTTGTTTTATTTGTTTTGCCTCACATGCTACTATGGTTAAGCAGGGCTCTTGCATCTGGTGTTAGTAACCAGGACCTTTCCCATTCCAATGCTGGGTCAGTGCGAGAAGAGCTAGTTGCACATTTCTTCCTGTGCCCTCTGCTGGTTTAGGAACCCTATCTCATTCTTCATACCTGTAACATTATTTTATATACTACCTCATATTGTCACCATATTGTAGCTTGTCACCATCTTAAAAGAAAACAGCTCACTCCTGCTTTGGATTAAAAAAAAAAGGAATTTTTTTAAACGTGATAGCAGAGTTTTGATCAAGATTGAACAAATAAGTTGCAAAAAACTGTCACAGACAGTTCTTTCAAGGATTACATCTCAACAGAGAGGATGTTATAACTCAGCTGCACTTTGCGCCACTTTCTGTATTATATCATAAGTGAGGGTTATTTTTCTTTTTGTTTCCATCTTCTGAAATTGGCAGACCTATTTTCACAGCCACCTTTTTTAAAAAAATTGGCAAAGATAATACTAAAAACAAGAAAACACGCCACTGTGTCCAATAGTGTGGAGTCATGGATATGTGCACGTTACATACGTAGTGAAAAGTAGTTTCAAAGTACTGATTCTTTTGCATACATTTTTCATACCTCTCTCATGGTTCAGTTTTTTCCCCCCTGTTTTTATCCCTGTGTAGTCCACAAAACATTTCAGACTTTGCTGAATTAGAAATTAAACACTCTAAAGAGCATTGCTCCCTCAGGTATATATGAATACGAGGCACTGCAAACATTTGTTGGTATTAAATGTTAGAACATTTCCTCAATGTATCTGATTTCCTGGAGGAATTTTTCATTAAATTTGAGGGAAAAGACACAATTGCAAAAAAAAAAAAAAAAAAAGTCAATGTTAAAGTGTGAATTGTGGTTAAGCCACAAGGGTTACAAATAGGAGACTGTTCTATTATACTCAGCTTTTTAAATTTGAAATAAGTAGGATTTGTTTATGTAGGCCTTTTTATATATTCAAAGTTGAAATCTTTTTTTTTGAGGCCCCCATTTTTTAAAAACTTGTTATATTTTAAATACTGTCAAATTTTAATGAGATTTCATGAAAATTTAGCTATTCACTGTTTATTCACTGTTTTAAAAAGGAGTTGGCAAGTTTCTTCTGTGTTGTGTTTCATTATCCTATTTTTTGGAAGACTGGATACTTGAATGTGTTACTTAAATTTATTGGTTTCTGTTATTTAAAATGGAAATGTTTTGTTTAGCATGCCTTCCCTTTCTGAAAACATTTCTAATATTTAACTTTGGGATTACTAATGCTGTGGATGTGATGAGTACCTGTGTAATGGTGACCATCTTGTCACTTGCCCTTAGGTAACTTCAACATTAAAGCCTTGTCATCCCCTCCTCTCTTTTCTTCATCCAATGTATGCAGCTCTCCTTTGAAAATGGCAACTTCTGTTCATTTTGGAGTCTTTGATTCTTTGAATCTTGTCTTCATGAGTATTTGAAAGTGATTTTTAACACTGGAGAATTGCTTTCCTCTTCTTTGTAGTGATTCAGATGGAGTTCTGGTGTCTGGTGTCCGTTTCACTTCTCTTCAAAAGATAGGCTGCTTAACTGCTAGTATGTCTTACCTGTTTAACTCTTGAAAGGCTCTAAATAATATTGAAAGTAATACTGTGTTTGTCTTCTTATTCTTGTTCCTTTATTTAGCTGGAGGAGGTACTCTTAAAAAACAGCATATGTATTGTAGTTTTAAAAAAGTATAATATAGAGTAGGAAGTTCCAAAACACAAAACAAAACCCCGTAAATTATATTTTGAAGGCTTAAGTTCATATGATGCGAAAGTCTCTAAAGCATGAAGAAGCATTGCTGAAAATAAAGTTCACACTATTTAAATAATTTGTAAATTTGAATTTTTCTACTGTTTGTGATTGTTTCGTACAGAATGTAAGTGCTTCATAGCTTCCATGTTTTAATTTTTTTCAGGAAGAACAGAATCGAGGCAAGCCCAACTGGGAGCACCTGAATGAAGATTTACATGTACTTATCACTGTGGAGGATGCTCAAAACAGAGCAGAAATAAAGCTGAAGAGAGCTGTTGAAGAAGTAAAAAAGTTACTGATACCTGCAGTAAGTATTTGTATGCAAGCCTTTGATTTCCATTTTCAGAAGGTACTTTTGAAATACAACTAATTTGCTACAGGTGTAAGAGTAAGCCTGCAGAGTAGCATCCTAAAAGGAAGTTGAGATACAATTTTGTAATACTCTAGTGATCTTTAAACTGCTTCATCCCAGACTGAATTATTCCTCAGAAGAGAATGGTGAGAGACTTGTTTAAAGGGACTTTTTTTTTGTCTGAGATACAGGAAATAGTTATCAGCTTTAAAAGGCAATGCTGAACTGTTACAAACATGACTTTTCTCTCTTTCCTTCAGTATTAGTATTCTTCACTTTCAGGATGGGGAAGTATGACATATTTTTATGTTTCACTTTGAGATGATTCTGATACTTTAAGAAACAAAGGCATGTTTTTTTAGATCATCACATTAAACATTTTACAAAGAGAACAAAACCCTTTAGTATCAAAAAACTTTGCTGTCAGTATACTGAGGAAAAACAAAAGTAGTGAAACTGGAAAATAGTTGTCTTTCTCATATTCTGATAGTATAAACTGGCTTCTGCACAGCTAGATGACTTAAATACTTTTTCAGAGACCAGAATTACCCTGTGAGAGCCTTTCTCTTAGATCTTCTCTGTAGTCTCACTCAAATCAAGGTGACTCAAGTGTGGCTGTATAGTGCATCCCATGCCATTAACTTGTATCTTGTGCTCATCTTTACCACCGCTTTTGTGCCCCTGTAAAATGATAAGAATAAATTAGATTTTTTTCTGTGGTGGGAAAATTTTCTGCATTACAAGGAAAATTGAGACTATCTTGTGAAAGAAAGTAGTAGGTGGTATTAAAATGACCTACTGATTTTGGGTAGTCAGTGAATACTAATAGATGCTGGCTGTGAGGAAATTTGTGGTGACACATGCTGTCTCTATAAGCAGATTTATTCAGAAGACATTTTTAGAAATTACTAAAGATAGGGAGAGAGACTTAATTTCTGAATTACCAAAAAATGGTAGAATATTAAGCAGGAGGCACAAAAATTGTGATTTAGCTCACTTGACATCGCACAATGCCAATTTCTGAAAGCAGCAGACAACTAGAAAAAGTAGTTCATCAGAATGTACTCATTACTAAAGAGACCTTGAGCACATAGGATTGAGTTTATAGCCAGGATTTTTATATGGGCAAAACTTTGAAACCCTTATATTCATTCTTTTTCTACTACTGAGCAAACAGTTTAGAAACCAAACTTCCGTGCGAATTAATTTTGCCGGGTTCATTCTTCTACCTCCCCTTTACTGCTGACTAATATGACTAAAGGGTCACCTTCAGGATGATAGGTTGCAAAGCCCCAGTATGTCTGAAGTACTGATGTGTAGACTCTGTATGTTTGTTTTATGCTTGTTTTGTGGAGCTGTGAGCCTCAAAAAATGTAATGCATTAGTAGTTCTTTCATTGTGAAAGTGACAACCAGCTCTTTGTCTTGAAAGCACTCTGCCTTGTGTAGTAGCCTAATCAATTGGGGAAGCACTGTAATCCTGATTACAGAAATAATTGGTTTTCCCCTTTAATGAAAAATAACAACACAAGGCTAACTATTGTCCGAATAAAACATCACTTGAAATAGCCTTTGTCAGTTCACTTCCTTATCATCTTTATATATTATGCATGGGCATAAGAGATTTGGGTGGTACATATTGCTGGCACAAGAGTTAAAGGTCTTTTGGCTCTAATTTCTAAAAATTATGCCTTGCTGAAACAGGTATGTGTAGTACATACTGATGAACTAGTATATAGGTGAACTTGGGTTTGTACTACCTACTGCATCTGTTCAATTAGTATGAAAAATGGAATTGTGGCTTCAGGCAGTTTGAGAGCTGAAAAACTCAGTTCCGTGTTAAAAGATAGGAATTGAAAACTTCTGTGAGGGAAGTCATAAACCTTCAAGTAATCAGGGTAAGCATAAGGAAAAAAGGGAAATCCTACTGAATTATTACAATAGGAGTGAAACTATGGATGTTGGAAGATTCCAAAGATACTATAAAATGTAAGAATGGAAAAAGTAAAATTTCCTTTCATGTGGTAGAATACCTGCAACTATTAATGTTTTTCAGATAAATGTCAAAGGATTAATGTGAAAAAAAAAAGTTCTGTATTTCTATTCTGTCACTGTCCAGCTTGATTAAAATTTGAGACTATGTAGGAGAGAAGACTCATTTTCATCTTGCCATACAATATGACAATGTATTGGGTTTATGAGATAAATTTCAGAAACATGTTAGTGTTCTAGAGTTCAGAGATGGAAATTAGTTGCTAATTTTTGAATGAGCAGTTATTTTTTGTATTCAAGATGTTTATAAAGCCTAATTACATTTTCTAGCAATAGTGCAGAAATAGGCGCATTTCTTAAAGTGGATTTCTATTTGAATGTACTTGGGTGAACAGACACTATTTTACTACTAAAGTCTATTTCTTACATTTATGAATCTGGATCATTAGTGAGTTTTTTTTTCCTTGTGCATGTGAATTAATATTTTCCATTTTCACTTTCTCCTGCATTTTACCAAGATAGTGATATAGTCAAGTAGTTTATCTTTAGAAATGAAAAGCACAACTTGAGGAAGATTGGCTGAGCAAGCCATTTTTTTCCTCCTTGAGGAGAAAGGCCAACTTTTTTTTTCATTATTACTCATTTGTATTTAATTTACATTTCTTTAGTATGAAGCAGTTTTAAAAAATTTTTTGGCTGTACTTCAAGTTCCATAGGATTAATTCTTTTCCTCTTCCCACAGCTCAGTGAGATAGTGGTCTTTAGCTACACCTGCAAGATCATACAGTATTACTTCTTTCATGTTTTTCTTCAAAAAAAAAGCAGAATTAATAAAGCAGTCTGCAGATTTTTGGGATCACATCAAGTTGTACTGTCCTTATGCCTGCTTCTGAAGTGAATCCTCCAGAGATCATTGATTTCTCTTTCTTGTGGGAATTTGAGAGTTGTTTGTTGTTTGCAGGAGTTAAGTGAGGATGGGTGGTTCTCTTGCAAAGGAAAGGCAAAAGATGCTCTGGATTGATTGTTCACTGCAGAACAGAAGAAAAAACTCAGAACCTGATGAGGGGGCATACGTAGCAAAGAAGTATAGCATACCAAACCAGAGCATCATTAAGGGTTTTGAGTTGTCCTTGGGGCTCCTGGGATGTAAGGCTGAACTCCTCTGCCAGAAATGTAGGCCTTCTGCATTTTGTAACAAATGTTGAATAAATGTTTCTAGCTGAATGAGTTTATCTAGATATTCCTTGGATTTTACAGATGACCAGGTCTCATTTAATTGCTAATACACCTTTATATCAGCTGCTTCTGTAAGGGATGAGGCACATATGACAGAATTCACATTACAGACAGATACTTCTTACCCCTTTTTTGTTTTGGTTCCACATGTTTCCTTTCTAAGGAAAAGACTGGATTTCTGGATTCTACTTAGCTATTCTAAGTTGGTCTGGAATCAGTGTTGTTCAGATTCTTTTATTGTTTTTCTTATGTTGGGGCAGCTGTAGTTTTACTTGGTTGCTGCCTCTGTCTTCTTGGAGGACAACTATAATACGGAATTATTCAGTGCTGCTCCCTGTCAAACATTGTACATCATTTGTCACTATGTAGAATTTTACAGTTGTGATGGGTAGGAGATAATGTTTCAGTAGAAGCTTGTTTCATTTTGCTCCTACATTTGGATCTTGCCTGTAATAATGATTTTAGACTTTTCAGTCTTGAATGTCTTTAAATTTAGCTGTATAGGAAAGTAAATGTTCTGTGTATGGCATGATTTTTAGGAATTGAAACATTTTTTGTAGTGGTGCTTGGTATGTACTCATTCACTAACTGTCCTCCTTGTGTTTAGTCCCTGTTACCAGAGATGTTATTTTGATACTATCTACAACACATTTTCTTTATATAACAGGAGAGAATATTGTGAAGGGACAATAGTATTGGTAGAGTGGTTTGTTTTTCAGTTGAATAAGCTAAAAGCACGTCTTTCTAAAAGACTGCTTTCAGCAAATGTGATGAGGTGGGGCTTGTTCATTAATTTTGTGAATTTCTAATACTTTCTTTATAGGTGTGGTTGTAAATTTTCCTTACGGTTTATTTTCAGCTACTTAGGGTAAACTGAAGGATGTCTTAATTTTTACCCTGGGAACTTTGTGTGCTGTGAATTCCATTGCAAAATACAGAGAAAAAAATTTAATTTAAGAATGTTTAACCATGCTTTAGCCTTAGTTAAAAAAAAAAAAAAAAAAACGTAATTAATGTAGTAATGCTGAACATAGTTTGTTGCTCTGTAATTAAGACTAGCAAAAGCTTGACATTTGAAAGATATTAGGAGAAGATTTCATTTTTTTATTAGCCATCTAAGAAGCCACAATAAAATCTGCATGCAAGTTTGGCTGTCTTGAATAGCTCTTCCTAATTCATTCCTGCATGGTGTGTTGGTTTTACATTTTTGCTTTCACAAGTGAGAATATAGGCTTGCCTAGTTTCCCTGTTGAAATGTTGGTCATGCTGTGCAATCCATTGTTTGCTGCTTATTCAGTTCAAGTAATGAAATTAATAACTGATAGAGTAGCAGAAAAAGGAGGCTGCTGTCCTTAAGAGCATTCTAGGGAATGCCTACGTTGTGCCTGTTTTGTCAGTTCCCATACAAGTCTCTCAGGGTGAATGATCAGACAGGAAGCTCTGCACCAAGGGCAGCGAAGCAGCCAAATGTCTTGGCAGCGATTACTGGATAACGTGGTAAACTTTTTGATGTGGGGGAGAGGTGATAGAGGTGATAGTGCGTTATTTTTAGTAGCATGAAGCAGGCTTAATGTTTCCATGGCTGTTTGAACTGAGGGCTGCTGCAGTCCTGCCATTCCTTCATGATTTGCTATTCCTGCTTCCTGTTTTGCATCAGAAAGCCCTGGCCTGCCTCTGAGGGTGTGGCAAGTCCATTTGGTGGAGAGCTGGACCTCATCGAATGACTTC